ATTATATTGCATTAAAATGCAATATAATGCGATCTGGTCCGTTATCTTGCATTATAAAGATACGCGTCGGGGTTGAAGCTGGTACTGACTCGATTGCCTAATTTGGGAAAGAGAGCGGACAGACGCTGGATCGAGCTTTCCCACGGTAACCGCGACGCGATTTACTACCAATTACTATACTATTACGCAGATGCCCTCAAAGTAAGAAACCATTTTCTTATCCCTGTCTTACTCGCTCCAGGGGCCCCCTCTCCCATCCCTCGCCTTATATACCTTTCGACGGCCCCTATTTCGTCATTCTCCTTGATTGGGCCCAATCGCTGCTTCCGCTCTCCTTTGCTTACGCCGCGCGCAGCGCGGCTATGTTGCAGCCTGAAATCGAAAAATTTTGAGCTTAAATTTCCCGCTCGCAGAACCACATCCACGAGGACAGCAGTCGCGGAGCGCAGCGCAGCGGCCTCTTGTCTCTCTAAAGATGTTCACTGTGCTTTTATCCGTCCGGCTTTTTATCCGACTAAAAGAGGCCATGAGATATTATCCAGCAACATATCACCATCTGTTTCATTTGGTCAACGACTACTGTGCATTCTTGCTGGCACAGCCAAGTTGTTTTAATGGACGCGCTCGAGGACCTGACGGGGCCCGGGATAGCTATGCGGGCAAGGTCCACACCTGATGCCTCCGTCCTCGTCGGGAAACTCGGCGAAGTGACGGTTGGCCAGTGTCTGAGTGGCATTATTGAGTACGTTGTGCTATCAGCCACGTCAAGAAGTCGTGAATGGAACATTCTGTGCCCAATCATTTTCAGATGCAGCTTCAGTACTAAATTGCAGCGAGGGTCGAGGTGTAGGGGGAGCCCTTATGGCTTGTGACTCGTCCGTTGAACGTTTAAGCTTGCTTCAGGCTTCAAGTTCAGCCCTCGTCAGTGGTCTTTGACCTCCAAAAAAAGCCTGTTGTACGAAATTCCTCGCTACTCGCCAGAAGCAAAAGCAAACTTGCCCAAATTCGGAAGCTGGCTTGATGCAAACCGAGAAAAAGTGGCACCCGCGGGTGATACAAATTGCAGCACTCATCTTGTCCTCCTTCGTCTCAAGTCACGTCCTCAGTCCCCTTTCGCATTGGCTACATTGCCGAGAACGTTTTTAGCTCGTTCTTAGAAGCGCGTCGTATTGCCTGAACCATTAGCCCGTACGCTACTGCGACACATCAGCAATACGTGTCCGCCCGTTTATCCAGCGCCTTCAGTACTTGCACAACAATCAAACACGCTCCTCGAACAATATCCATATTGCGTCCACAACATCGACGCGTCACGTACAATCAACCACCTCGCAATCAAAATACAGTGCCCTCGAACAACGCCCCCGCCACATCCCACATCTCGCCGGCCACAATGTCCACAGGCGAATTTTTCGATGACCTGGACGACTCAGTCGAGGAGCTCGATTCCTGGCTCACAATATACCGCCGCCTTGTACGTACGGCACCTCCATCGCTCCTCGAGATCGCACAGACGGCGCTCGGCGCCATGAATGACGTCTACATCAAGCGCGTGGAAGAGCAGGACCAGGTGGGTGCAGAGTTGGTCGGCGCCGAGCGCGGCCGCGCGACGGCTCGTGTTGACTCCGTCGCCCAAGAACACGGCCTCCGCAGTAGCCACGGAGGTGACGATAACGGCGACGACGCGCGAGGTCAGCCTCTTCCTGCTCGCCGGCCTGAGCAATATGGACGTTACAGTGACGCGAGCCTGCTGATAACTTTCCTTCAGAATCAGGGTAAGTTCTGCTTACCTAATGTTCAAATATATTGACACTGACATTCTGTACAGCTCTGGCTCGCCCGCTGAGTCCTCGACAGCCAACGCATGTCCCTGGGTACAATGACCAACCACCCAGAGAGAATAATGTCCGACAAGCAGCTCGTACAGTGGTATCCACAGCCATTCAGTTCACGTCGAACAGACCAACAGCGGATACGACTGAACAAGGTGCCGCCTTGCCTCGCAGCTACCCATTATCCTCCCAGTGCGATCTGCCTTCGGGCCGAGCCGATCACCTCTCCAATCCAGTCGCCACGAGCGGCCCCGGCTACCGTGTGCGCTCTCCGCCTCAGCTTTGGGCACTCGCACCCAAGGTCTTGTACTGCAGACCGGCTGCGCACGCCAATGCCGTCATCGGAAGGAGTGGGTACCGCAAGTCATTGACCCCCCAGACGGAGAACCAGAAGGGGAAGAAGAGGGCGCTCGATGTCGAGGAAGTCGAGGAGGATAATGTCGATGAAGAGCACGACGGCGACGAGCGTGATCGTGAGGGTCCCAGGCCTAAGCGCAGCAGGTTCAGCGCAG